CTTTTTTAGGTTTTTTACCTTCAAAATAATTAATGAGCTGTTGTACAGACGAAGATGGTGGTTCATAGCGTTTTCTGCTCGTTTTATATTTGGTGTAGTTGCAGTCTGCGGAAAGGTGTGCCCTGGAGTAGTCACTGCTGTAGTGTTCAATGAAGAAGGTGGTGCTGTCTGTGTTGCCGAGGCGTTCTGTGCATCTTCTGCATCTACATCAGCATTTTCATCTTCTCCATGGCCGCGGTCTTCCAAATTTTCGGTTTCTACATTTCCAGCCCTTTCCTGATATATATTTGAGTTAAATTCGGCAGTCTCATAATGTATGAGTCAATATCTTTCACATTAGACGACGTTTTGGCAAATGCCAAAAAAGGACGGAAAAATTCCATGTAGTCAGCCCACTGCCATTTTTTTATGTTGCCCACTGCTTGGCCGGTCTTTGGTTTGGTAGATTTTATATATTTTGCAAATGTGTCTCTGATATTCTTCCACCTTTTTTTTACTTCATCACCTAAAAACGATTTTTTTATAGATTCCTTGCCACTGGTGACACCTTCTATACCATTGGGCATAGCTTTCGAGTTGGCTTTACAACAGTGAGTGCAATCGTAACCGAAGTCTGTGAAGCGATATGCAGACATATGGAACATATATATTTACCAGAACCAACAGAGAATATATGGAAAAAATGTGCTGAAGAATTTGAAAATAGATGGGGATTTCCCAATTGCATTGGCAGCGTGGACGGTAAACATGTAACAATCAAGAGACCTAACAACAGTGGCTCCAATTACTGGTGCTATTTACATAAATATTCAATAGTACTTATGGCCATTGTTGGCCCGGACTATAAATTTATATGTGTTGATATTGGTGGTTTCGGAAAAAATAGTGATGGGGGTATTTTCGAAACCTCAAACATGGGAAAACGATTTGAACAAAATTTAATGAGTGTCCCTGCACCTAGATTTCTCCCTGGGCAAAATGAAATCTGCTCGTACGTCTTAATTGGTGATGAAGCATTTGCTTTAAAACCATACCTTATGAGACCATTTCCTTATAAGCAGACTTTAACAGACGTCAGAAAAGAGAAATACAATGTAAGACTTTGTCGAGCTAGAAGGGTCGTGGAAAATGCGTTTGGTATTTTGTCTCAAAAATGGCGAATATTTTACAGGCCATTAGAAACTAAAGTAGATACTACTATTCTAATTGTACGTACGGCATGTGTTTTACATAATTTTTTACGAAGTAAAAGTGGCGATGACAAATATTTTCAATTCTTAGATCCCCCAGAACCCGTGCTTGGAGCTTTTACTGATATAGCAAATGATCCTCGGCGGGCAGCAAGGCTAGCATTTTCTACTCGTGACAAATTCGTAAATTATTTTAATTCTGATATGCCTATTTTTTGTGTAGACTGTAAATTATTTAACAAGTTAATAAAAAATATTAGGTACAACCATTTGTATTTAATTCTTTTCCTATTTCCATCCAAATCTTGTCTTTCTTTCTCACGTTCCTGTATTCATCGTTCCACAAATCATACAAACAAGGATACTTTTTCACTATTTCTATCAATAATTCCGTTTTTGCCATTGCGAATTTTTGAAGAACGGCGTCAAAAACGCGGTCAAAGGCGAACTGAAATACGCCGCGATAAAAACGCTGGAACAATCGCATTCGCTTCGCACAAGTCTGAGCCTGTCCGTAAACCGCCGCGTTTTAATCTGATCGCGAATTCATCGCCGCGAAATTTTCGCAGCCAAAGCGAATATTTCGCGCCGGTTTGTGGGATGCTTTATACTTATTAAGAATCGCTTTTTATTTTGCTAATGTTGTTTTTTCAGTTTTTCGTTTTTCATTAATTAATATATATTATAAATTTTCCACTTTTCATACTTTTCCCTAAATGCGGATCCCAATCCGGCAACACCGCAGGCAAGAGCCTCTCATACATAACATTAGCACAGACGTCAACGTCATATAGCAGATGGCGGTGGAAATAATGGTGAAAATAACTGCTAAAAATACAGTCTTGGGAAAAAATGTTCTAGACAAACGTGCTTCATTCACACTTTTTGTCATTTAAAATAATCTATCGGAATGCCCTCTTTAAGTTTCGAGTGAAAAAACAGCGAAATTCGAAGTTCTACAAGACGCAACAGTACCAGTATTTTAATAATTTCTTAATATAATAAGGTAAAAAAGTTAAAACTCTTAATTTTTATTTCTCAAGTATTGTAATCCCGAACATTTTCGAAAATGATATATCATGTTTTTTGGATTTTATATGACATGTGCATCACGAAAAACCATGTCATCACTCATCTGCATCTGTCGGTTTGTCCGTTAATCCTGTAATCGCCTATAACTTGAGAAGTAGGTACCTACCGCTTGGATTTTGATGAAATTTTTACACAATGTTAATACTATGCCGAGGACGGAAAATCTTTGTCGTTTTTGAAAATAGGTCCAGTTGCGGTCGAGAACAAAGGCAAAAAACAAAAAACATAAATCGCTCACATGTTTTCGACGCTTTGGAGAAAAATTTAGAGGGAAAAAGTTGGGGCTGGGTCACACGTGAAACTAACAAAACTTATAGTATTATTATAATATTGGTAGCCCACGAATAGATCTTTTCAAATAGACCAAGTTTGTTAAAATGGGCTCAGCCGTTTCGAAGATGTAGAGTGTTTTCTACGGAAACCTTTCAATATTCCTCCACCACTTTATTTTTAGAAACACAGCAAAAAATGTCAATCAAAAAAGTACGCATTGTCTTTTAAAGGTATTTTTTTGATAGGTCAATATAGCGAAATTCATAGAAGCATCACTTTTTTAGATTCAAGATTGCAGTTACGGCCCCTATCGGACATTGAAAATATTTTCCAGGTTTTTCTCTTGGCCTTTTTAGTGAGAACTTTTTTTGCCGCAAGCCTCTACGATGGGTAGGTTCTCAGATACAGTATCTTCTGATACTTATTCATCACTGATACTACAATACTTTTTGAATATTTGCGTTTGCAAGTTTTTCTTCGCTGAAGATTATAAAAAATCATCTTCGTTTTATAATAAACCAAGAACAATTGGTTAACTTATCCATGTTTTCCAATGAAAGGTGTTCTGGATTAAGTTGACTGAAGCTTTTTATATTTGAAATATATCTGAGTCAACACTCACTTTCGTAGAGTGCATCGGCTTTTGTTCTTCATTCTTCACTAATGGCTTAGGATTATGAAGATTCAAATATTAGACGCGAAAACTTTGAAGTGGTTCCTGATAGATTCGGGATAAAATAAACTAAAGGTTAATGAACGAATAGTGACAAAAGGAGGCATTCAAAAGAAATAGATGTTTTATTAAGTTACTGAAAAGTTTAACAAAACGGAGCATGAAAACATCTCTAATAGATCTGTCTTTCTAAATGAAAAAAAACTCTGAAAATCTGATATTATTTGAAGAATATAAATATACGTATACATGAGTTTGTTTTGTTTATTTATTAATAAATGGAGGCCTCATTTAGTTTTTCCGTCCCAAGTCTCCGATGGGCTGAGTTCGCCACTGGTGGCGTTACATATTATTTCAAGGCGCAGCAAAATCTTCAAAGTTTATTTTTTATATAATTGAGTAGTAGTAGTCTCAAAATGAAAGTTCAAAGAAGACCTAGCAATGAGTTTCGCTTTCTTCAAGCAAAGTCATTATTTTACATTGTTTCGAAATCCATTTAACAACAAATTTTGATCAACATTGTAAGTAATTAAATGTAATGTTGACTATATAGTTACTAACCAATTGGAGCCTCGTATGATGGTGTCAATGGGAAATAATTAATTCATTTAGATCGTGATGAACTAATTACCTTCAACGTAATATTGCTGTTTTTTACACCTTGTATGATTATTGCTCAACTATAATATTCTTGGAAAACATAATCACCGAGCTGAACTCTTGCTAGACATTAATAATATAGCAATCCATATATGTATGATTCGATGCTTGTTCCGCCATTTTTGAAATGTAGTAATTCTGATAACAGATTCGTAATTCCCGGCACGAAAATCTTAGAATATAAATTTGCAGATAACTTCATCAAGTTTCAGATTTTCGTCTTTTTGAAGATTGATGTGAATAATACTCAAATAAGTGTGAGTGACTGATGTGTTTCTTAAAAACGGTTCATTTTATTGAAATTAAACTAGGATACGTTCTTTTCAGATAAAGTGTTAGGCTTCTTTAAAATATTATTTTTGTGCCATTATTATACAGGGTGGAAAAATCCACAATATGAATAGTTAATCATTTTCCATTGACACTATTATGTGAGACTCCACTACAAAGCTCTTGAACTTTCGTTGAATTGTACAGTTTCATTCACGAGCTGTTTAAGAAAAAAGTTCTAGTGACACCATTTAGGGGCCTGCCTATTTTCTGTGTTCTATGTACATCTTATTCTGGCAGACCCTGTTTGACGGCCTAATAAACTAACTTAAAAGTTTAGTTGAATCAACTGTTGTTTGCAAATATTTGAACATCACGGGTATCTGTTCTCTCTATTTTTTCTTGGCAGTATGTGTTATTTAGGGTGTCCGCAAAGTTGGGGTTTTCCTTTGCAGACACAACTAAGCTTGATATAACAAAGCTAATGTGTGGTGAAACGTGAGCGAACAAGTAAAAAAAAGAAATGAAAAAGTACTCACTGTTCAGTTGAATTGAAATTCGAAATACGGTCCTGTCGTATTTACATCATAGTCGTACGCCGTATAATTGTACGCTGGCGTTGTGGACGTTATCGAGGGATAGGACAGGACCAGCACCTTGTATTGCCGAATACTTTTTTATATTCAGTCTTCATATATCATTCCCAAATATTTTTTGTTTGAGGAAATTCATTACATTATAGCTGAATTTCTTATTGATAACTGCTGTCTTATATTTGCTCCTGTTTTCCTAAATAAAATTGTGATATTATTTTATACCCTTGCAACAAATTGAAATTATAGGGATGTTGACCTAAAAGAATGTAGACAGGTTGTCCATGAGGCAATTAAGAAAGGCATCAATTACATCGATACAGGTCCTTGGTATGGTCATGGACAGGCTGAGGAAATATTGGGAAAGGTGAGATTGTTTGGGGTGTTATAGGAGTATGAAATTTTTAATGAAATGAAACATTGAGATATTATAAAGACTTTACTTGTAAGTATTGTTAGGCTAACGTGAAAATAGCAGTAACAAATTTCAAGATGGCGGCTGAGCATCATCTTGTACCTTTTTTTAATAGAATGAAGGATCGTGTGATATGGTATTTTGAAGATCCTTATGAGTACTTTACAATTCTACAATCTAAAATCACTGTGTCGCAAAATTGCTTAGTGGAAAGATGTCAAAGCTAAAGCGTTTTCGTATATTGAATCGCGTATAAGTCAACAACTAATCATCAACAAGCTGTTTGAAAAAATGACAGATTTTGATATATTATTTCAAATTAAGTGTTTCATATTTTATTACATATTACGATGGACCCTTCCAAAAGAAGAAGATTGATACGCTCAACTTTGACAGCCTGCCAGTACGACATTTGCAAAAAAGTTGATTTTATATTTTCGGGTTATAAGAATCTTCAAAATGATGTATCACATGATTCCCATTCCATTTAAAACATTTTTCTAAAATTTATACTCCAACTACCACGAAGGCCTAAGGCCTAAACACCCATTGGGTACCGTGGGGCTATGGGGGATACAGGGGAAAGGAGGGACGCCACACGGACTCTGGCGAGGGAAGACGTGTGCTTGCAACATGCACACATTCTGGCTCCGCCTACGAGATCCGCCGGGTGGTACCTCCGCGTTCGACAGTCAGACCGTCTACCATCTACGGACACTCACAACATCCATAGCCAAGAGAAAAATTTCCTCCTGATCAGGAGACCGAAGAGTCTACTACTGCGGCCACCCAGCCGCCATCTTGAAATTTTGAACTAACAATTTGAAGCTAAAATATAGTATTTGTGCATTAATTTTTAGTACGAATTCCAGCTTGACGCGTTCAAAAAATAAGTAGAGGCGTCCTTTTTGAAAAGCACTCTATGATACTTGGCCCAATAGATGCGTAATTTTATTTACCTCATTGTTTTGAAAGTGTGTGGATCAACGTATATTTTTTAGTGTTTGGAGGGAATTCCAAGGAAAGCATACTACCTGGCTACAAAGGTGGGAAGATATGAGAAGGATCCATCGTTGATGTTTGATTTTTCTGCAGAAAAGTCAAAACGTAGTATTGAAGACTCATTGAGCAGACTAGGGACTGACTATGTTGATGTGATTCAAGTGAGTTTTAGGAGAGGACCTAATTTCTTTTTAGAGCTATCTGTATTTGCGTCTACGAGTATAATGACGTGTACAAAAACCCTTGTTCCATTAATATTAAAAACATTTTTGGCGATCCTTATGTATTTATTCAAGGACGTATCTTTGCATCTGCTAGAAAACATTTTCTGGTTCATTTTTTGCATAATCTTATTCGAAAAGGACCTCTTTTGATGAATCTGCATGATGCCAGGTCTAAAGTTCATCAAAACGTATTTAACCAATTTTTTATAAACAAATTCCAATAATTGTTTTG